TCGTGCCGGTTTTACCGTAAAACTTCGACGGGCCATAACTTCTTCGTTATAACTCGGATTTCGGCGTTCTTTATATGTACGGAACCCTTGTAACATATACTACCACTTGGCTAAGATTATTCCTTCTAAATAATATTGCATCAAAAACTCATTTTTGATGCTCGTTGTCTCTAAATTGACTAGCCCAGATCTACGGGCGTTACAATAACCGCGGGCTGTTGACACTTCACCGCAGAGTGTGGGTTCCGTTCACAGTCGGTGTGTGCCAGATCTTGATGGAGGAGGCGCACAAGTCCAGATTTTCCATCCATCCCGGGGCGACAAAGATGTATATAGATCTTCGTCCTGATTACTGGTGACCTGCATGAAGCGGGATGTAGCCTGGTACGTTAAGAGGTGCTTGACCTGCAGGAAGGTCAAGCCCGAGCACCAGAGACCCCACAATAAGACGTAGCCATTGGATATCCTTGTGTGGAAATGGGAGGATATTACTATGGATTTCATCACGAAGCTTCCCAGGACCGCACGGGGAGTAGATTCGATTTGGGTCATCGTGGATCAGTTGACCAAGAGTGCCCATTTCATCCCGATACAGGAGATCATTTCGGCCGAGAAGCTGGCTGACGTCTACATCAGAGAGGTAGTAGCTCGAGACAGAGTGCCAGTTTTCGTGATTTCTGACCAAGATGTATGGTTTACTTCCAGATTCTGGATGCAATTTCATGACGAGTTGGGTACTCGTCTGCATTTTAGCATGGCTTTTCTCACCCAGATAGACGGTCAGAGTGAGTGGACCATCTAGACCTTGGAGGACATGCTGCGGGTATGCATATTAGACTTCGGTGGTAGTTGGGATACCTACCTTCGCTTGGAAGAGTTTTCCTATAATAATAGCTACCACGCCAGCATCGAACATCCTCCCTTTGAGATACTTTATGGGAGGAAGTGCAGAACCCCGATATGCTGGGGTGAGGTTGGACAAAGGGTCATGGGGAGTACCGAAGTTGTATTCAAGACGACAGAGAGGATCCAGTAGTCTGTAGTAGACTCCAGTGGGCAGACGAGCTACGCCGACAGACGACGACTAGACCTGGAGTTTTAGGTGGGAGATATGGTCCTCTTGAAGGTGTCACCGTGGAAAGGTTTCATCCGGTTCAGGAAGCCGGGAAAGTTGGACCCCAAATACATCGGACCGTTCAGGGTATTGGCCCGAGTGGGCAAGGTTGCGTACCGACTGGATCTGCTAGCTGATCTTAGTCAGATCCACAACACTTTTCATGTCTCCCAGCTATGGAAGTGCTAGGTAGACGACTCTGAAATGGTGCCTCTAGAGGATATTCAGTTGGATGACAGCCTAAACTACTTCAAGCGACCAGTAGCCATCCTCGACCGGAAGATGAAGGATCTGAGGAACAAGAGGGTAGAGTTAGTGAAGGTGGAATGGCAGCACCGCAAGGGCTCATAATGGACGTGGGAGCCGTAGGACGAGATGAGGGAGCACTACCCCGAGCTATTTCCAGACGCAGATTGTGGGGGCGATTTGTAACACCCGATTCCTGGTATGTATTTTAAATAAATTTATTCACTTTTATATGAGAACTCGACGAGTTGGAGGCCCCAAACTCGTCGAGTAGGGATTATTTTGAGACGCGGCTGACGAAACCTACTCGACGAGTTGAGAGCCCCAACTCGATGAGTAGGGCTGGCAGAGTGAAACCCTAATTTCAGGGTTTTGCACCCTATTTAAACACATTAATACCTAAAGGCTGGCCTCATTTACAGCCTCCAAGTCCCAAAACCCTAGCCAAGAAACCCTACAGCCTTGTATGAGCTTGTGAGACCTTTTTGAGAGAAAACTTGTGATTTTGAAGCTTGTAGAAGAAGAGAGTAGATCCAGAAACCTCACTTTATTTGCAGCATTTTCGGGTAAGGACGTCTCAAACTTGCTCAATGATTTCTTAGATCTCTTCGTTTCATTTTTATGGGGTTTTTGGTCCAAGAGTGTTAGCTTTTGGGAAATGGACGTCCCAAGTGATTATTCTTTCAGATCTGGGGTCTAGAAGGGGTTTCATGGCATAAAGGTGAAAACTTTATGGCCATGGAAGCCCCATGCAAGCTTTAAGGTGTCATTTTGGCCTTTTAAGCCCCAAAAGGCCATGCATGGAGTTCAAGGCAGAAACTTTACGTGTTCAAATGACGTTTAGGGACTAGATCTCAGTTTGTATGCCTTAGTTCGAAGTATATATGGCTTTTGGACCAAGATCTAGATCTTGAAGAGTTAGGGTTTGAGCTAAATCCATTAAAGGAAGCTATTAACGGGTAAAGTTGGAAACTTTACCCTTAAAAGGGCATTTTCGCGTAGAAGAAGTATGGAGTCCAGATCTGAAGGATATGAGTTTAATCTATTAAGATGGCCCAACAGACTGAAGAACTCGTCGAGTCCATAGAGGAACTCGATGAGTTGGGTCGAAGAATCCCGAGTCTGTAAGGGTGAAAACTCGATGAGTTCAAGGATGACTCAACGAGTTGATTGAAGAAGTGCCGATTTTATGGTTAAGGAGGAACTCGATGAGTTGTGAAAGAACTCGACGAGTTGGATCGCGATTAAGGGTTCCTGATTCATGGAACTCGACGAGTTGATGGACCAACTCGGCGAGTTGGGTCAACCAGAATGTTGACTTTGACCAGGATGTTGACTTTGACTTTGACCTTGACCAAAGTTGACCCTTATGGGGTTATGAGCATGAAAAGGGTAACTAAAAGAAATCTTTTCATGTAGGAGTTTGAGTGGGGCAGATTTCAGAGCCGGGGACAGTTCAGCTACTTCACAGCATTTGAGGTGAGTTACCTTCCAGTAGGAGTGGGTCGAAGGTACTAATGTCGGCCCACTAGTAAGTGTTATAGTAGAGATGATTGTTATTGTGATAATTATCTGGTATTCCACTATCTGTTATGCTTTATGTGCTAGTATGCTATGATATTATGTGATAGTGGTAGGAGGGGTAGGATGGGCCCCAGTATCGGTCAAAACGACTAAAGAGGTAGGCCAACACCCTGATATGCTAAGCATTATGTGACTTATGTGATTATGTACTAGGATGTTATATGGTAGAAGTAGGGATCAAATAGTCCCCGGTACCGGTCAAAGGGAACGAAGGGGTAGGCCAACACCCTGATATATGCTAGACAAGGTACCGGTCGAGAGGACCGAATGGGTACGCCAGCACCGTGATATGCTAGGCAAGTTACCAGTTGAAAGAGACCGAAGGGTTTGGCCAGCACCCTGATATGCTAGGCAGTTACTGGCTGAAAGAGACTGAAGGGGTAGTTCAGTACCCGGAATTGTTAGGCAATATGTTTATTGTATGGTATGTGGTATGATGGGGGAACTCACTAAGCTTTGTGCTTATAGTTTTCAGTTTTTGTTTCAGGTCCCTCTTCTATGAAGGGAAAGGAGTCAGCACGATAGCAACACATCACACCACGATTTTCCACACTATGATGTTCATGGGATTTGTACTCTGACATTATTATTATCTTATGACATGCTTTTGAGACATATGATCTATGGTTTTTATGAAATGAGATAACATGATGATGTTTTCCATAATCTATTTTATGAATTGTTAAATCAAAAATGAAATTTTTGGTCTTGGATTTTCGAATGTTACACTTTGGATTTCATACTTTGTCAACTCAACATTTCATCAACTTTTTGATAATTTCTCTTTTTTTTTTCCACATCTCAGTTTTTTACACTCAAAATCCTACATGCTTAGGCAAGGAGCTTAACTTGAACCTTTATTGGTTAGAGGAATTAGTCTAACTACAATGACTACATAAGCTCTCCTGGATGGATTTCAGGTACAGGCTACAGAACTTGTTACATCATATAAGCTACCACATTACCTTTCATACCTCATGAATTTTCACTAGGAAATGGGAAGCCACAAATACATTATAACATGTGTTGGCTCGGGTAAACATTTGGGCTCTCTTCGGATTATCCCATCCAATACTAACAAAAATTTTAATTAGCTAGGTTTTCCTAAATTATACTATTGTTTCAAGTCTATATGAATGCAAATGTTGAAAAATCAAATGCTTTTTTCTCTAATGCAATATACCCCTACCTCACACTTAATTCATGCAATTCCCTCATTTCATGTTATGCAAAACATAAAATTAAAAAGGGAGAAAAAGGAACAGACTCCCCTGGGATAAAAGATGCATCTTGAATCGTATGGCTAGTGTGAAAGATAGCTTGCTCAAAAGTGTGGAAACGGAAGTGGTTGACCGCTATGGAAGGTGACTCAAAGACTTGGACACATGTACTTCGTAATGTAGAAGAGAAAACTCGAAAATCTGGCTCGAGAAGACACCACCTCGTGGTAAAAAGGAACACGTCGTGGTGGGCTGGAGGAATTAATTTGTTCGTGTTCTGATTGCGACAACACGTCGTGGTGATGGATACCACGTCGTGTTGAGAGAAAAATAGCACAAATAAGTGATGTAAACAGCAGATTTTGTCAATATTCCTTAGCACCAACAAAGATAAACATTTCTTGGACGTGACTCTTCAATCGTCTGCTCAAAATAACACTCAAAATGCTCAACTCTCACCTCTCTTGCTATTTCTCTAATATTTCTCTAAAATTCATCAATCTCTTGCCAAAAGAACCCCTCACTTGGACTCAAAAGTTCCTGGAATTTAAAGCAAAGAAAGGTAATAAAACTAGGAAACAATTTAAACAACCAAATAAAAAGATAATTATCCCAAACAAACAACCACACCAAACAAACCAAAATAAACCAACAAAAAACATGTCCTAAATCCACTTGCAAGAAAAGGATAAAAAAATCCCTCATTCCTCCTCATCATCATAACCACCTGATCCACTGCCACTAGCTCCTCCCTATCGCACTCTGCACAACTCTTCCCAACTTGGGACGTACGGATATATAGCCGGAAAATCATCAGGTCGATTGAAGTTCATTTGTTACATCATGAAATGCAAACTCATATTCGTATAGTTGACACCTCGTGCCAAGTTGACTTGGAATTGCCTCAAAGCCATATTGTATGGATCCACTGGGAGCTCATCCTCGATTGGGATCATCGGTGGTTCATCTTTATCTGCTTCTCCACCTCTCGGTCTCACCCGCCTCCTGGGTTGGTTGCGGGGAGTATCATTAGGAATAGAAAAATTACCCAACCCATTATCAACAACAATATGAGCCCGTTTATACAGAAGAGGAGAACAAGTTGTTTGAAGCTCGATTGTCAAGAACATGGCTTTACGCTTGTCAAGAATGCCAAAAGACCGTGCAATCCAGGTGATTAATATTTTGCCATATAAAGGATAGACGCGACGATCTTTTCCCGCCTGGATTGATAGAAACACTGCCAAAAGAAAAGGGATGTCCACATGGATGTCTGGTGTGATGAGGGTCCATAAGAAAAACACATCCAACGTCGGGACCTTGTGATGTGATTTATGAACATGGTTTGACATGCGGAATTAAAGATTGCACAATGAACATGGTGATTTCGGTGTTCAAGAGATGTATTGAATATGTATGGTGTTACAAAAAGGGATATAGATCTACATCTACATAAATACCACACACTTACATACTCTACTTTTACACCTCTCAAGCACACCTCTACAAATGGACTAAACCCACCTTATATAGAGGTGTTTACATGTCTCTCTCTCTCTCACTCTCTATCTCATGAGTCAAAAGGCTAATGCACCACATGCAAGTGGGTCTACAAAAGTCAAACCATTTACAAAGTCATACATGGATAACTTTGTACCCCAACATTCTCCCCCTCAAAGTTAGGAATGGATGACCCGCTACAAATCTTCCAAAATCAAGCAACTACGCGATCCGAGCCTCAAGGGTGAAACATGTCGAAATGAACTTCAAACCTTCAATTCTTTCATGATTCTTCAAGTTGGGCTCTAGGATGTGAGACCATACGAACCGAGCATCAACGAATGATTAAGAGCATCTCAAACTCTAAATAATCACCCTAAAGTTGAGCATAAAAACACACCTCAAAAATCTTCAATAATTCCAAACCCATTTCGAAACGAAATCACTTCCGAATCTCCGATCGCATCATTTCGTAAACTTCAAAAATTCAAGGTCACTTCGGTCTTCAAATCCGCGTAATATGAAAAATTCAACTTCGAATTTCCATATAAATTTCTCCCCCTTTTTGTAATCAAATTTTGATTATAAAACCAACAAGGAAAGAGAATGTGCTCTATTTGGAATTTTTCGTGTCAAAAATCTCCCTTAACATGTGGCATAAACTTTTTGCTTCAATCCGGAAAATCTAAAAACTATTCAATTTTTAGCTTCGTTCACGGACCGCCTTTGACAAATTTTCTCAAAAATGGGTAGAAATTGTCAATTTCAAAATTCTGCAGTGACCCGGTGCGCCAAAAATAGCCAAATATGCGAAATTCTCCCCCATTTGTAAAATTGGGTAGAAAACGTCACTTCTCGTAAACTGCAGGGACCTGTTTTGAAAATTATCCCATTTCTCAGAATTTTTAGCCCAATTGAGAAATTGGGTAAATTCTGCCAACTTGCAAAAACTGCAGGCATGCGAAATGGAAAATCAGCATTAAACACAATTTTGACCCCATTGCAAAAGTGGGTAAAAACTATTACTTCTTTGAATGTTTAGGGATGCAAATTGAACATTTGTCTTCTTCTACACTTGTTACCAGATTGTGAACGATGAATAAACATTCACAGATGCGAATATGAGCTTTGCAAATGAAATTGCTATCTTTGATGCGAACTAACCATTTAATTTCCAAACCCAATCAACATCATAGAAGCGAAGCCTTCGCATCTCTAACCCCAAAATGTGATTGTGACCACAAATTCAAAATCAATTTTAACCTCAAAAACACGATTCATATGCGAACCCGATTTTGATATTCACTGCCTTTGCTACAAAAATTTTCGCATTGATTTCATTCACTTATATGCGAAAATCCAAACCCAATCATCTTCATATGCGAACTCAATTGAGACTCAGATGTGAATGACCCTAATCGTCACAGAATGCGAACTCAAAAGACAACTTCCATTGCGAAGCCTTCAAAATTAACCCTTTTGAAATCGACATCGACCAACACACTTCGAAATGGCCAGTCGCAGATCAAACTTTCACACTAAATTGATTTCGTTACCAAGCCATACGATACCATCGACATCAGGAAATCCATCACTTTCGAATCATCAATGTACCCTTGAATCCAATACTCAGCATTAACCAAAATCAACATCGATACCCAACACCATCGATATCTAACTTTCGAAATCAATCAATTCCCAAGCATCGATCATTTGACATCCAAGAACACGAATTTTGACTTTTTAGATTTGACTTTTTATTAGCCCATCGACAATGAAAAATCTATAAACACCAAAGCTATCTTCTCAATATCAAATTTCAGATCAAATACCCATTTTCAACCAAAATTGCAACCGTTCTTCATCTGTTCTTGAATGTTCTTCATTAGTTTATCAATTTCAATCATAAATGCTCCAATTGTGACGAATTTAGCCAAACCGAGAACCGTTTCTTCAAAAAAATCATGTTGATCTTCGAAGACCCGCTCTGATACCAATTGATGAATCGTAGAATCAGTTATTAATCAAAATCATAGTTAAACAAATGCAGATTGAACAAACGATGTAAATAAGATCTGGTTTCTGCTCATTTACGCTTTCAACATTTTTACAGAGAAAATAGACAGGTTCTGTAAAAGACTCTTATCTAACTCTAGTAAAGTTCCATATTTATAGGAACAGTGAAAGCATACAAAAAATACTAAGGCATTGACAATTAAGCTTCGTACAAAATACACCTCAGTAAATAAACTTAACAAAACATACGAAGGGTAAAACAGACTTCGACATATTACAACAAAACTCGACCCTAACAATCTCCCCCTTTGTAATAATGTCGACCTTCGTCAGTTCAAGAGTATCTGTATAACATACAGCATAACTCTTCGAATCTCAGTGTACCACGAGATTATCTTTTTCAGTTCCTTCTTATCTCCTTCATTATTCTTCTTGCAGTTATTCATACGAACAATGAAATTCGTATATTGGGATGTTGTATATCTTTCCACTTCGGAAGCTTGAAACAAGAATCTTTTCGCCTTCCCATTTTTATCTTTCCCAACAAATACCATACCAAATGGTTTCAAACATATTTCTCCGTCAGTATACTTCTTCAACTCAGGTTGAGTTAAAGGAAGTTCCATTGGCACTTTTACAGTCAATCCCTTTGTTGTAGCTAACTCAACATCAGTAAGTGCTAAACACTCATAATAGTTGTCAATGAAAATCTTGATGTGAGCCAACCCAAGTCGAAAAAGTTCAGGATCAGTTTCTCGAAGATATGAAGCGCCTTTATTCTTTAGTAACAATGCAACTTGTATCAGATCATACAAGTTCATTAAGGGAAAATCAGCTACTGAAAAATCACATACTTGCCCATTCGCCCTCGAAACAATAAAGCGAAGATTCTGCATCATATTTTTGAACAACACATCTCGCTTTATGCTTATCACCTTCTTTATCTTCACCAGAGACCAAATCTCCTTTGGAAGTTTTCCAAGTACAGCATGAAATCTGATCTTCATGTATGTGTACTCATCATCATTGTCAAATTTCTCAGCACTTTTGTACTGAGCCATGATGAACATCATTTCATTGATGGGAAAATCTAATTGACTCATATCAGTGTTGAGAACTACATAGCTTTTCTTTGGCTTCTTTTTGAAAGCATACATATGATTATATGCAACTTTCGACTCTATTGTCTCATAATTGTAATGCTTTGAAGGATCACCCTTGTTCTTCCCAGGTGGATCATTTGCACGAAGTCGCATAATGCTTTGTACAATTCGGAGCTTTTCAACCTCAGCCTTCGCTTCAGCTTTCTTTTCTTCCTTTGACTTTTTGACCATAACAGTTTTGCCTTTGTCTTTTACAGAGGAATTATCAACACATTCCTTAGGCTTCGAACTGCTGCCTCCTTCTCCAATCACAATTCCTTTGGAAATTGATTTTGAAATTGGCTTCGTTGTCACTGGCATTGTTGTTACAACAGTCGAAATAACTGGCTCGGCAGTAGACACAAATGGTTTTGTTATTGGAATCTTCGTGGAGAACACCTTTCCAACAACCTTTGCATCTACATGCAAATCTTCACCACTAGCCTTCGTAATACCATCCTCCTTTTCTCCCCCTTGCACCCCTGTGAAAACAGGTGGGGCATTCTTCGGAAGAAGGCTAGAAATATGAGAAAGTGGAGAAAGTTGTTTTTGCAAGATCGCTTCAAAATGAACAAACTTTTGAGACAAAAAGTCCGGAGTGATTAATGGAGATGAAACTGATTTTATAGTTAACTCTTTAAGCTCCTTCAGCGAATTAAGCACTTCCACAAAGCTTTGATTTTCCGTGGTCGACAATTGAGTAAGTTGAGGATGCAAATCTTCGTACAGTTTGACATATTTGATAACAGCATCACAAATAATGTCAACTTTCTAATTGATCGAAGCATAATCACGTTGTACGATTAAGATTTCTTTTTTGCATATCCTGTCGAAGTTCTTGGATTTGCAAATTTACATCTTCCCTCACCTTTTTGATATCTTGAACGAATAGTACATGTCGTTCTTTCATCAAATGCTTGAATTCTTTCACTTCCCCTCTGAACATCGAATTGAGAGAATTGACCCGTAATTCATCATTTTGATCATTGTGATCAATCTTTTCCAACAGACGAATCTCTAAATCTCGGACCATTCCAGAGACTTTACTTACCACTTTTCCTTCGAATGTTTTCAGCATATTATCAACTTCCAGACGAGATACAAACGAATTACTCCCTAAATTTGCTTATGATTGAAGAATAGAATTCAACTTCTGGTTAAGAATTTTGAATTGTTTCATCGTCATCAACATATGATCAGGGAAGTGATCTTCTTCATCATCAAACTGTAAATCTTCAAAGGCTCCTCCAAAACCTTCATTATCAGTATCAGCTTCAACAACAGGTGAAGGTTGAACAGGTGAATTAATTTTGAGAGAATCAGTAGATTGAGATGAAAAAAGAGTGGTAAAGGGTTGATGAAGAATGGTTTCAAAAGTTGGGGAATTTGTAGTATTCGGAAGAATAAAAGGTGGTAAAGACACGAAAGTGTCTGGTTTTGAAGATATAGGAATATCTTGATTAGTAGGTGCAGCCTCTTTGTTCGACTCTCCCCCACCCATGTTGACATTTACATCCGTATCAGAGTCATGTGTAACAATGCCTGAAGTTCGAACCTCCTCAGTATGTGATTCAGTTAACGAGACTTCGGGTGGTATGACTATTGTCTTCTCAGGAGTAGATACAGATTGTGAAACAACTGGTTCTGGTGTTTCAGGAACAATTTCTTCTTCAGAAGATGCCTCTTGAATAACC